CCCTAAAGCAAAAACCCCTAAAAAAAAAAAAAAAAAAAAAGTCCATGGAAAGGCATATTATGAAAAAACTATACATGGATTTCAATTTTTTTGGCACCAAAATAAATTCCTACTTTAATTCCATTTTTTTCCCCCATGAGTTTCTAAGTTTCTGAAGTCCCCTCATGCATCAACGAACCAGGGCTTTGTTTTACGGAAATCAATCATTAGGGGTACAATGTTCACATTCTGCCCAACCATACGCATTTTAACCGACACAGTTGTACTACACAGCACTTCGAATCTTGTCACCATAGTAAATAATCACCACAGCCACACAATGAAAACATCGTCAGAATGAAATAGCTGTCACATCCACTAGCCTTTTTACAGCTCAGACCCAATTCCATACCAAGTGAGCGGGGTAACTCCCTGGTCAGCTTGCCTTCACTCTTCCTCAAAGCCCTGCAGAGCATCGGTGCCCTCCAACCTGGTGCACTCCAAGTGCTCCCTAGGCCGGCGTCACTGGCATCACCTGGGAGCTTGCAGGACCTACGGAAACCTCTGCCTCAGTTCACAGTCTCATAGCACTGCCCCCAAATTCTTCCCACCCGGCCCTGCACATGTACTTTGGCCCCAGGTCTGAGATCAGCCTCTGCTCCCTGGAGCAACACTGGCTGTCTCCAAGGGGCCCCCTGCCATGACAACCCCATTCTGGCTAGCATGCCACCCACCTGGCTGCACCATGGTCCAGTGGCCTCCTCCTTTGACCTGTCAAGGCGATGTTTCTCCAGAATGGTTAGAAATGCGCAAAGCTTTTAGCCGCCCCCCAAAAAATGTTTATGCATGAGGAGAAAGATCTATTTTTAGGTGTCAATTGCCAGCCCATCCTGGCTCACCCGGTCACTCTCCTCCCACTTGCCCAATTAGAAAGATCATATTGTTTCCTGGCATACAATTCCAAGGGCACAGGCAGGGGACCCGGAGAAGGGCTCCAAGAACAGCTCTTTAGTGAATGGAAACAAGATGATTTCTGCTCAAAGCAATTTCCTCAGCACCCGCCCTTTCCTCCCACCATGGACCCCACGCTGAAGGGATGCCAAGGCCACGTGGAAGTAACGGAACACCAACATATGCAAGACATGTTCTCCACCCTCAAAGGACAGCAGGAAGAAGGGAGGGCCAATCAGTTAACTCTCCCTGATCCCACCCAAGTTGAAAGCTCAATATTCTACTCCCAGTTTCCCGGATCACAGAGAGATGAATCCACGTTTTCGTATGTGAAAATATGTACAGAAAGGATGTAAGACCCAAAAGCTTCTCACTAGCAGTGTTCTCGCATTCTGGCTTTTAGGGAGCCTCTGGAAATGACTACAAATACACCATTTACCTAGTGTCTTGCTCTACCACAGCAAATACAGGGGTCTTTCTCAAAGTCTCAGAAAATGTATACTATGAAAAAACAATGCATGGATTAAAAAAAAATTTTTTTTGGCACTAATACATACTTTAATTGCATTCTTCCACGAGTTTTCTGAAGTCCCCTTCTAAGGGAGGCCATTTCCCTTCTCTTTGCTCACAGTAGATAGCACTGATTTATCACAGCACTTTCCCCACTGGGCCTAGACGCTCCTGAGAGTCCCTGTCCCCAGAGCCTCTGCCCCTCCAGCATCTCAGATCCCTTCCCAGAACTCTCCAATGGGGATTACATTTTAACGAGATCCAGAGGTGATTCGGGGCACACTGGGGTTAAGAAGCGCTGCTGTCACTTGAGGTGGATCAGCAGAGTGAGACACTTGCTACTCTTGGTCTGTTGTCTTAGGGTTTCCAAGCTTTCTGCTCAAATTTCTATTTCATCTTCACAAGAGGTTTCAAATTACACAACAATTGACTCATTATTTTTTATATTTTTAATTTTTTTTAACTCAGTAGCAAGCATTCGTGGTTGGATGACAATGTAAGAATTCTTATTTCCAGCTTTTCTTGGGGGAAAGAATATCAGTCAGTACTTCTGGCGATACGAGGCCCATGATGCCACATGGCAAGAGATGATCAGAGCTAAGTAAAGGCTCCTCTCTTTAGTCAGGGCATAGATTCCCCAGTTTATCCCAGTCTCTACTACTCTCTACTGCCTTTCACCAGCCTGTTTTACTCGTCCATGCTGTCTGCCTGCATGTGTGACTACACCAGAGACTAGCTGTTTCCAAAACTCAGTAATAACAGACCATGACAGCAACACCTTCACCTGATTATTCAAACCTTTTCACCGATTCTGAAGGAAGCAGCCACACCTGCAGTGGCCCAGTTACCCTCCCTTCCCCACAAGTGCTGTGTGGTATGAGCTGCCTCTGCACGTGGCCCAGTCCACTGAAACCACAGGCTGCCTGAGGTCTGCAGCCACACGCTGCACACCTTTCCCTTGTCCAGTGGTCTGCACCAGCTACGCACCAAAAGGCATAATCCTGAGTACAAGCAAGCTAACTTCGGCTTCCCAGCTCTTCCACTCACGACAGCCAAGCACCCGAGGCGAGTTGTCTGCCCCTGGCTATGATGTGAATGCTAGTGTCTCTCCAAGTTCATGCTGACACTTAATCCCCGAGGCAACAGTACTGAGAGGTGTAGCCTTTGGGAGGCAAGAGCTCCGGAATGGGATTGACACTCTATACAAGGGCTCCAGGTAGAAGGAGGCTCTCTTGCCCTTCCACCACCTGAGGACACGGTAAAGCGCCACCCTGGAAGCAGAGAGCAGCCCTCGCCAGACACAAATGCTGGCACCTTGATCTTGGACTTCCCAGGCTCCAGAACTATGAGAAATAAACTGCTGTTGTTTAGAAAGTATCCAGTCTAAGGTATTTTGTTACAGCAGCACAGATGGACTAAGAGAAAACGCCATGAGCCTGTGTCCCTATCTGTGAAATTCGGGGGTAATTTAACACACACTGAGTTATTGTGAGAAACAGAAAAGACTGTGAAGTACTCAGTGCACGGCCTAGTATACAGCAGTCACTCAATAAAGTCAGCCATTGCTACTATGATACATGGTTGGCGCTCCACAAGTATCTGTTAATTCAATGATTTTTCTCTCGCCTTTGACTACCCCAAACACCCACTCCCTCCCACTGGAACGTGAGAGCTTTCACACCCTCTACACTACTGCTCAGGGCAGTGACTGAGGACCATAGCCTGGAGTGGGGGGCCCTCTGGACAGGCTGCCCTCACTAGCATGTGGGGATGTGGGCTGGTAGGCTAGAGTCCTAAAACCACATGGCCTGCCGCACCCACACGTGACATTTTCCTTACCCCTACTCACAACGTCTGCAAGTCCAGCCAAATTTTTCCTCCTTTTTTTTTCTTTTTTCCTAAGTTAGCATTTTTATTTGCCTCCCATCAACATTAGTGAGAGATATATTTTTTAATTCCGTTTTGGCCCACACAAATCTCTCCCTTCTCTGCTCTCCCACTATACTCAGGACCACACAGTTCAGTGTTTAATGCTCTCAGTATTTCATAGACTGTACAATTCTCCAGAAAAACTCAGAGTGGTCTCCAAAGGTGATCCGCAGTGTGTTGCAAACAGGTTCTTAAAAGTTCACAGGCACATACATACATACACATACACACATAAATTCCTTCTTTCAGGCAAAGCAGACCTTTTTTTTTTTTTTCCCATTTACTTTACACCAGAAAAGCGCTAAGCAACGTAACAAACACAATGCATACCATACTCCATGCCCATTCCCTGTGTGCTAAGAGACATGTTTTATGTTAACTAAGCTAGGAAATGGAACTCGTCCAGTTTTCTCTGGTCATGTTGGAACCGTGCACTGCATAACAAATGAAAGGGGACTGAACTGGGTCACTGTCTTCTTTGTTTCCTTAAAAAGAGTCTGGTGATGATCTCTGGTCTGCAGCATCTTATCTGCCAACGCTGCAAAACTGGCGGAAGAAACATGATGGGTCTTTCCAAAAACAACGGTTTCCATGTAAGTTCCTCCTTTCATTTCTCAAATATCCGTCCAAAATATCTGATTTCAACAGGCCAAAGATCCTGGCCTTGGCTGTGCTTCTCAGGAACAACGATGGCCTCACAGTCATGGCCTGCAGGAGGCAGAGGCCTGGTGGACACCCACAGACACTGGCTGGGGAAGAGAACCACTGGTCTTTTTGAGCTTCTCTGAAATGGAGGCACTGAAGGTGCTGGGAGGTTTCTTGACACCTGGGGTCCATGGCATTTATTCGAGCAATTGTCCATACTATTAGGTCGGGAAGTCATCATGTATCTTTCTATGCAAAAATGCATCGTGACTTTCCTGATGACCTAATAGCTTAGACTCACTAGTGGCATGTTTAAACCGCTGCAAGATCCAGTGTGTTGATAGCAGCTCTGGACAATAGCTCCTTCTCTGTGGAGAGCCAGCAGTGAAGCAGCTCTCTGAAGCTGATCTGGAATTATCTGTTGCCTGAACTAACCACAGAGCCCTGCTAAGCAGCCCCCATCTGGCTAAGGGGACTCAGTGGGTTTTCATTCCCCATTCTTGGCCTTTAGCAACAAGGAAACCCCAATGTCTGTTGCTTTCCTGTGTCCTTGGTGAGAGGATAATGCTGATCCCTGGCATTACCAAAGGGAATCACCAATATGTTTTGAGCAGAGTATGAGGTTTCCATGAGGGCAAAAGGGCACGGATATCAGCATTAAGAACAAAGGAACAGGGTCAGCCAGGTGGCATGGTGGTTAAAGCGGCTGGATCTCACATGACTAATTGCACGGTTTGAGTCCTAGACCCGGGGGCTTGAAAAACACATCATGTGCGTGTGTGTATGTATGCACATGCACATATGTGCCCCAAATCCCAGAGATCAAGAGGGGACTGTGGTGTGGCCATCCCCTCTGGGGCATGCTTTCTCACTCACTCTTTTCCTTTCTTTCTCTCCAGTGAATGCACACCTTGTAGTAAACCTAAAAGAAAAAAAAAGGCAAAAAACAAAAACAAAACAAAAGAACAGAAAAGCCCTCACCTCCCACTTGGAGGAAACAAGCCCCCTAATTAGCTGCTAGATCAATCACCGTATCCACAGTCCCACCTCCCAACCATTCATCAGCCCACTTCACCCCAGACCTGCGGGGTGCTTGCTCTCAGGACACACTCTAAATCAACTCCACAAAGGAAGTCCCCTCACAGGGCCTCTCTTCTGGCCTGTAGTGAAGGTGGGGGGTGAGACTTGGACAGCCGAAGCGAGAGCAGGAAGCGGGAGCATCTTTCAAGTATCCACTGATAACAAAACACACACACTGACCAGGCCCAGGCATCTGAAGCTCCTTGTCCACTCTCGAATTGCCCCAGGTATGGATGCCACTGAAGGAGCCCACACAGCTCACGTTTCAAGTGCAAGGCACTTGCAGAAGCCAGGCATACTGACCCTGTACCATAAAGGCCCCGTACACTGCCTGGGCTCAGGGCTCGAGCTTAGAAAGAGGGAGGTCCCTTCCACGAACTCTGGCAGTTGGGTATGTGACCAGCCTGACACCTGATAAATCAGTTACTAAAACAGATCCCAGTTTTCCGGCAACTAGGGATCCAGTAACACTCCAGGGGGAGGAGGGGAATGTAAAAAATAAATCCATAAAACACTGTGCTGCAAACCCACACAAAAGAGAACTTTCAGTACAGCAATGCGTGGCAGGAAAATGGAAATAGAGTGAGCAGTCCTTGAGCACCCATGGCCTGCTCAGGAGGAGGGTGGTCACCAGCTTGTGCCCATCTATCCCGCAGATGGCAGACACAGGACCACTGCGGTCATGCTAAATTTAAAAAGAAATCCCTCTTTAAAAATACATTTCTATAGGAGAAATAACATTAAAATGCTCTGAGTTTGAATTATGACAAGGGTGCATTTTAAGAGGGAAGCCATTTGTAATTCTAGAGTCCTTAAGTTACAGAAACGTGATAGCTTTGTGACCACGAGATTTGTTTTGGAAGACCATGGTCATTGTTTTTG